GCACAGCTGGCACTGCAGGAGGGCTGAGCCCCCCTGGGATGGGGCTGAGCCACCTCCCTGACCCACAGGGGCTCAGGGCATTGCTGACTCTGGCAGGGCGTTGGTTTGTACTATTGCATTTGTATTTTTAATTTTCCTAGCAAAGATCTGTTATTCCTGCTCCCACATCTTTTCCTGAGAGCCCTTTCATTTCAAAATTCTAATTATTCGGAGGGAGCGGGTTTGCATGTTCCATTTTAAGGGAAGCTCCTGCCTTCCTTAGCAGGCAGCTGTCTGTTCAAAGCAAGGCACAGGGCAGCAATGCAGGTTTGGGGTGGCAGCTCTGAAGGGCACGGGGAAGGCTGTCCCACCCGAGGCGGGCTCTGTCCCTGCCGCGCTGCCCCACGCGGTTGGTGGATTTGATGTAGAGGTGCCGGTGCAGCTCGTCGATCAGCACCAGGTGCAGGTTCATCTTCTTGCTGTGCAGCTCCAGCCTCAGGTCGCTCAGCCCCTCCACCTGCAGGAGGGGACCCTCCAGGGAATCCACTGCTGACACCTGGGGGGAAAACAGGGCACAGTTTTTAGACATCCATCCATTCCATCATGCTCGCCATTTGGCAATTTTCCTCTTGGATTGTTTGGATCTCAGGATGATTCTGTCCTTAAAACCCTTCTAAAACAGAGAATCTTGAAGTAATATTTCTTTATTTCTGTTCCCAAAGAAATTATATAGAAGGGTTCCTATTGTAGAGGCGAACCCAGTGGGAAGAAATGATGGTGTCTGACTCCATTCAGAAGGCTGAATTTGTTCTTTATTAGAACTATGCTAAAATACATTAATATACTATTTAAAGAAAATACTAAAACTACAAACCTACTTGTTCTAACTATCATCTCTAACTCACTCACAACCTGTGACCCTCTCTGAGAGTCCAGCCCCAGGTGGGTTGGATTGGCCATCAGCTCAATCCTCACCAGAATCCAACCCAGTAATCACCCCACGGAAACAATTCTCCAAACACATTCCACATGGGAAAAACAAGGAACAGAAATAGAAATTGTTTTCTCTTTCTTCCCTCTGTGCTCCTCTATGAAAGATCCTGAGAGGGAGAGAAATGTGCTTGCCACAGGTTCCAACGTCCAAATAATTCAGATTTAATGTTCAGCCTTCAAATATTAAGCGTATGTATAAAACAAGTTAGTGAAAGCACAGTTCTTAAATAAAAATCAAAGCATGGTTTATCCCCAAATAAGAGGATTATTAAGTAGAAAAGTGTTAGAAGAAGATAGTGACCAATAGTGTTTGATGGTTGCTATTCTTTCCATTACAGAAAAACAAAAAAACCCCATTATTCCAAAATCTGCAAATGAGGAGGAAATGGCTTAAATTTAATTTGTTTAAACTCATGACTGAAATAGCTTAGAAGGCCTCATCCTTTAGGCTGCACAAGGGTTATGTCCTGTGGTTACACCATTTGAATATCTGAAATAATGACCAGCTGACATCCTATGGGCACTTAAATTTCCTAATTTTCTTTTCTATCCTAAAAATAAATGTGGACAAAACCCAAACACAGACTAAAAGCCAGCAGGAACAACAGATCAGTGCCTAAAAGCAACACTCTCACTGTGCATCCCTCCCAGTTGGTTTTTATATTTAACAGAGATTTCCAGTTACCAATAAATAAATGATGGCACCCCTCTGCAGCTTCCAAACTCTCAGTGCTGATGTTGTAAGAAACTGGAAAGAGCACGTTTGGCATGCAGAGGTTTAAAATAAAATTAAAAAAACCCATTCCCTGCTAACTGAGGATGCTGCCAGTGAAATAAGACATTTGCTTGCACTTCGGGGTCTCGGTTCAGAACAAACCTGTCAGCCAAACATTAAAAATTAAAAGCAAAGATACAGTGAGCAGCCAGCCCAGCCAAGGGCTGCTCCCTCAGCAGCAGTAAATATTAACTCTGCTGAAAGAACATCCATCACCAGAGTATTCCTTTGCTGGCCTCCAAGCCCAGGAAAAACTTGGAATATCCATGGCACAGCCAAGCTTTTTATATTCATTTTTAAATCTCCTCACTTGCCACACTACATTGGCCATCTTCTTCCTTCCCAGTATCCATCTGGGAACATCACACACCATAAAACCACCCCAAAAGTGAAGGAAAAACCCAATTTTCTTCTCCCCAGAGGAGGTGGCAGAGCTCACTCAAGAGGAGGAGCTCAGCAGGCACCATGTGGGAAACTCTGGATGAAGTGGAAATGTTAATTCCTCTCCTCTTCCTTTGGCAGGTGGAGTTTTTTTCCCCAGATTTCCCCATTCCAAAGGCATTCCCCTGAAAGAACATCCATCACCAGACGTTTTGATCACCAGAGTATTCCTTTGCTGACCTCCAAGCCCAGGAAAACTTGGAATATCAGTGGCACAGCCAAGCTTTTTATATTAATTTGTAAATCTCCTCACTTGCCACACTACACTGTCCATCTTCTTCCTTCCCAGTATCCATTTGGGAACATCACACACCATAAAATCACCCCAAAAGTGAAGGAAAAACCCAAATTCCCCATCCCAAAGGTACTTTTTCCTTTGGCAGGTGGAGCTTTTTTCCCCAAATTTCCCCATCCCAAAGGCACTTGGGATCCCACCCAGTTGCTTCAGGGGAGCTGCAACGACCCGGGGAGCTGGGCCAAAAATCCCACCAGAAAAAGGAGCAGGAGCAACATTTGTCATATTGAGAAACTGAGAGATGAAAAAGCAACCAGAAGAAAAGTGAAAAGTGACAGAAAAAAAAAAAAAAAATTCCAAGACATCCAGGAAAAGTTTTCTCTGCAATGCAAAGAATGGGAATTTAAAATTTCCACTCAGCTCTGGTTTTGTCTTGCCAGTTCCTAAAAAGTTCATTGCTTACCAAAAATATTAAAACCAAAATACAGCTCTCAAGGACATCTTTTAAATAAAAAAATTTGAATATTCAACCATTTATTACACTCATGTTCAAAGAAGGCAAAGGAAGGTCTCCAGTTAGTTTAGATGGCAATAGAAATATTATGCTAAAAACCAAACCAAACAGTTTTTTCCTTTCTGCAGTTTTGGTTACAGAAAGATGATTTAGGTCCTGGCAACAAAGCAGCACCCAAGGTTATATTCCAGAATAAAAAAATATGTGATTAAAACCTTTGTGTGCTGGATAGATCACCCAGAACAGCATAAACAACCAAAAGGAAATAAAAACATCAATAAAAAATGCACAAAATTTAAAATACACTAAAGGCAGATCAACAGTGGAACTTTAGAAGGAACTTTTTTGACTCTGTGCCCCCACTCAGCTCCTAACACACCAAAACTTGGATTATGCAAGAGATGCCAATCAGCTTTCCCTGGTTTTTAACCCATCAGCTGCTGGCTGCATCCAGAGGCACTAAAAGATGTGGAATTGGATAGAGAAAGGAAGAATTATCCTGCAAGACTCCAGTTAATACTGATAAGGGAAAAGCAGCCTAAGAAAACCTGGCAATGAGATGTCCAGAAGGACTCCACGTGGTTCAAGGCTCCAGAAAAAGCAGCTGATGGTCCTTGCTGGGTCTTTTTTTCTACACACACAGCTCAGTTAAATGGAAATGAAATGATTTTTGTTTGTTTTTCTGAAGGGGGATCACGGCATTGTGCTAGACTAGCTGGGCACAAAAGATAATTGCAGGTAAAAGAGCTCCCCCACATTAGTCTTTTGGCAGGGGCTGGGGTGCAGAGAGGAGCCACAGCCACACAGAGCAGCTGGAAAAGGAATCAACAATAAACAAATTGTTATTCTTATGGAAAAAAACTGCTTTACAATGAGCAAATTGTACCAAAAGAATGGGCAGTCCCCACCAGCACCTCTTTTAATTCTCAAATTCAGCTCCCTCTCCCACTGAAAGCTGCTCATAAACACACAATAAATGTAATTTAGTCAAACACTAATTAAAATATTGGCCTGGATTAGCACAGAATTTGGCTTAGATGATCTGATAGCAATTCCTGATGTTCAAATCTTCTTATCTCTCTCTACTTATTAGTACCTACAAATCAGCAAAGACCCTTTAGGAAATAGAGATGAAATAAGCCTGGAAAAAGAGCTGTGCTTTGTATAAGCCAAAAATTGCAAGTTTATAGAAAATAATCGTGGCACCAGCACCATTAGGCAGCTTGTTTAAAGGTCACAGGCAGTTTATAGCAGGGCTTAATTGCCTTAAAAAGAAAACACAGCTAAACACTTGCTTAGTGTAAGAGGAAATTTGGAAGGGTTTAACTCAGCATTTTACAACGAATGAGAACCTAAGTGTTAACAAGGTATTTGTCAAAATTCTTTCTTCCCTTACTTCAGCCAAAGTTTCCCAATCTACTTACAGTGAAATCTATTTATTCCCTCAAAGGCTTTGCTGAACCCCCACAGGCCTGGAACTGAGCAGAGATAAAGGATGAAATATCTATTTTTTTTTTTCAGAGAGGGGGAAAAATCCCAAAATAATGATAGAATCATAAAATCATGGAATGGTTTGGGTTGGAAGGGACATTAAAGATCACCCAGTCCCCATGGGCAGGGACATCTTCCACCATCCCAGAGGGTGCTCCAAGCTCCATCCAGCCTGACCTTGGACACTTCCAGGGATCAGGAATCCACAGGTTCCCTGGGTACCCTGTGCCAGGGCCTCCCCACCCTCACAGGGAAGAATTCCTTCCTCAATTATTAATTATTTAACTAGAAAACCAAAGCCTTTCAGTCTGGGAAACCAATCTGTTCTGAAATTGGAAAATAGATATGAAAGCATGAACACACAACTGAGAAAGGTTTAGAGAAAACAACGTGGTGGGTCATAATTCCAGATAAAAAAAAAAAGCTGTACACAAACACAATCTGACAAAAGGGAAAAAGCTGAGCCCTCGGAATAAAAGAGTGAATAAATCAGCAACAACCCAGAAGGTTCCAGCAGCCTCGCTGGTGAATACAACAATGCTGACATTTAAAAGGAGAATTGATCTACTGCTTTTACAAGGGACTCACTTTCACGAGGTACAGGAAAGGAAAATGACTAAAAACCAGCTTAAATAAGTGTAGCAGATCTAAACAAGCAGGTCACTGAATTCCATTTGCAGGAAATAAGGACTGAGCCTGGAAACTGCTGTGGAACGGGAAAGTTCTCACACTGCAGCTTTTGGGATTTGGCAGCAGGCAGACAGACAACCCCACAAATGCTGATCCCTCTCTTCCCTGGAATGGAATTCCCAGAGCAGCCCCAGTGTCAGAACTCAAAATGTCCCTCAGACATTTTTGGAGGTTCCGGGCCCAGGTCAGAAGCATTTGAGACCCTGGCAGCAGCTGGAAACAGCTGGGATTTTGGGTTTGAGCCATGGGATGAGTTACCAACCTTGCAGGAAGAACAAGAAATCACAAAATTTAGATTTAGAGTAGAAGGAGTCACAAAGTAGAGGGAAGAATTTTTGAGTGCTGTACAGGGGGTTTTGGTTTTGTACATGGGGGTCAGAGGGTTTAAGATGGATTTGGGATTTGGGCCTGCCCTGT